GGTGAATAAGAATAATTAATACTAACAATAATATGATTGATACTATTAGTGTTACTCTTCTTCCTCCTCCTCCTCCTCCTCCTCCTCCTCCTCCTCCTCCTTCTCCTGCGCCCCGCCTCCCAGGGAGGAGGGCGGGTTGAGACAGCGGCAGTCGGCTTGCAGGCGGAGGCACCTCGTCGCCACTGCGAAAGGCAGCTCCGGAGATTGGCGCGGCTGCTTCCCGGGAAGGGTCCGCGGACCGATGTTGAGCTGCCGAGGTCTCAACCTGCCCTGCTCCGAGCCTTGTGAGCCCACCGCTCACCCCGCGAGGGCAGCGTCGCGCTGGGGGGGGGGGGGGGGGCACGCCCCACACAGGCTGCGGCGCCGCGCGGGCAGAGTAGTTGCTGGCAGGAGCGCCTGCTCGGCCTGTCGCGCCGCCGTTCCTCTCCCCCGGACTCCCACCCTCCCCCTGGTCATCTTTCCAATATCTCTCCTCTCCCCCTCCTCTGCTTGTCCCTGCTGGTTTCCTGCCCACCTGTTCAACCCATTGCCCCTCCCCTCTGCCCCCCTCCCTCTCCCTCCTCTTCCTCCTGTCCCCTCCAACCTGGATCACCCGCTCTGCCGCATTGCCCCATCCGCCTCCCCCACCTCGCAACACTTCGCCCCTGCTCGTCGGTTCCTCCCCCCAAAACCTCTGGGGAGGGCAGGTTCGTTCAGCCGCCAAAAGGTGGCTGCTGCGACCGCTACGCGCAGACTGCCGCCCTCTAGGAAGCCGTCTTGGAGGTTGCTAGCCCGGGCTGGCCCCCATCTAGCAAGCCCCACAACAGGCTGCGAGCTGGGGGCTCTCCAAGCAAAGGGTCTCCCCCGCTAGCAGTTCCACGGTCTCTCGGTCTTTCCTCGTCCTCGGAACCACTGTTAATGGCGGCCTGCTCGCAGAACTGGAAGCAAGGTCGGTGATCCTCCTCCTCCTCCTCCTCTTCCTTCTCCACCTCTTGTTCCTATTATGCTTATATGTATTATTCGTTGTATGCTTATTCCCCGTATTCTTAGTACTTTAATTCTAATACTATTATTCGTAAGTCTTCTTACCAGCAATATAAATAGTATTGCTACGATCAGTATGAGTAGTAATGGTAGTAGTCCTCATGTTTGCGTTCGTCTTCGGATTAGTAGTGGCATTCGTATTACCACTATTATGGATAGTATTGCATTCGTAGTATGATCGGTCTTCTTATTCGTAATGCTCGTCGTCTTCATCTTAGTGGCCTGCTGATTCGTTTTCGTAGTGTTATTAGTAGTCGCAATGTAAGGATGAGTTGCATGTTTCTTCTGGCTACCTACTAACAATACTACTATCATCAGTAGTATTAGTATGGTCAGTTCGTTTTCTTCTTAGTCTTATTAGTATTAGTATGAGTAGAATTCTTAGCGATGGTGATCTGAACGCGCGCGTTCGTAATCATATTCGTAGTAGTATTCGTTTTCTTATTCGTATATGTAGTATGATTCGTATCGTTCGTAGCCGACTTCGTATTGGTAGTACTAGTCGGGTTATTATTTTTGTTCGTAGTATAACTAGTCGAATGGGTATTATGCGTTGTGGTATTCCAAGTAGTCGCATAATGCTGAGACTCGAATTAGGTGCATTCTTATTCTCCATTCTCCTCATCATCATCATCATCATCATCATCATCATCATCATCATCATCATCATCATCATCATCATCATCATCATCATCATCATCATCCCCATCCTCCTCCTCATACTCCGCCTTCTGTTCTCCCCCCTCCTCCGCCTCCTCCTCCTCCTCCTCCCTTCACCTCCACCTCCTCCACCGCCTCCTCCTCCTTCCCCTCATACTCCTCCTCCTCATCATCAGCAGCATCAGCATCAGCATCAGCATCAACAGCATCAGCATCATCAGTATCATCATCAGCCGCATCATCATCGTCATCAGCATCAGCATCGTCATCATCATCATCATCATCAGCATCATCATCAGCAGCAGCAGCAGCAGCATCAGCATCAGCATCGTCATCAACATCATCATCATCGTCATCATCATCATCATCATCATCATCATCATCATCATCATCATCATCATCAGTATCATCATCATCATCGTCAGCAGCATCATCATAAGCAGCAGCATCGGCATCGTCCTATTGCTCCAATTCCTCATCCTCCTACTCCTCCTACTCCCCCTCCTACTCCTCCTCCTACTCCTCCTCATCATCCTCCTCCTCATCCTCCTCCTCCCCATTCACCTCCCCCCCACATCTCTCCCTCTCTCTCCATCACGCCCTTCCTCCTCCCTCACCCCCCGCCCTCCCTCCCTCCCTCCTCTCTCTCATCGTCTCACTCCTCCTCCTCCCCCTCCTCCTCCTCCTCCTCCTCCTCCTCCTC